AAACATAAAAATCTTTTTTTTCTATAAGAATTGGCATTTTGAAGATTTCAGATCATTTTGAACAGGATTAGAAATTCAATTATAGTAGAGCCTTAAGTAAGAAAATTATTTCTATTATCAGTATGTTTATTTGAATTTTCACTGTGCCCTAAAAAATTCCAAGTAAAATTGTCTGCAAATGATTTTATGAATGCATTAAAGAAAATGACGGGATTTTTAAAAATTACACAGCAAAATAAAGAGAAAAATCATGACTTAGATTGGTTGCTTACTGTGTATAAAATGATGTGGTAAGTACAATAAAGTGCCACTGTGTTCAATATGGCAGTCACTAGCTACAGGTAGCTATAACAAATACAGAACATACCCATAGATGGTGCAGATAAGAACATTCTATCGGGAAGCACTGATCTAGTGCAATCCACATACTGATAAGGAAATCAAAGCTTAGGCAGAAGTGACTTACACAAGGTCACATAGCTAGAATGTGGTGGAGCTAGAAATGAACTCAGTTAACTCACCTCCAGAGCCTGCATGCCTCCAAGTCAAGCACTTTTAAAAGACCTTCCTGCCTTCTAAAATAATCAAGAAGTTTAAAAGGCTGAACAGGGAAAAGTAAAGAGAGAGAGGTACACATTTTGTAGACTTTAAAAATCAACAACAAAACGACAAAAATCTACTCATTCGCTAGCCTCGAAAAGCTTCATGGTATTCAAGGATTTAGAAAGAAAACCCAAGAAAGCATCCATTAAAGAGTAAAAAGAGAGCCTAAAAATAGTAGAGATATCATATCTGTAACCTTCACAAAAAGCCCATGATGTAACAGCATTCAGGGAGGAGGAACTAAAGCTTGGAGAGGCTAACTAGCATGCCACACATATTCCAGTGATGTAAAAGAGCTAGAATTTTAACCCTGTCTGACTCCAAAACCAGGTGCTTTTTTCTGCTATTCCATTCAGCCCTGTCAAATTCTAGCTTGATAACTACAGAGGAAGCCAACTCTTATTCCTGAAAGAGGAACCTAATTTGTACATGTGCTAGCTAGCTCTACTTTTGTTAAGGAAAGGAAAGGAAATGATATATCATGCATGTATGTGCACAGATATGCACATTTTTACTTTCCATCTATTCCTAACGATGAAAAAATCAGTAATTGAAAATAAGTGATATGAAATAATTGAGTTAACCAACCTTCTTTCTCTTCAAGGACAAACTTATATGGAAGAGAGCGTTCCTTGTTTTGGGGTTCTCTGTGCTAGCGGTGTTCAGCAGCATGTATTTTGGTTTCCCTGGGTCAGGAGGGCTGTGTACGTTGGTCATGGCTTTCCTCGCAGGCCTTGGATGGAGCAGCAAAAAGGTGAATTTCATTTTAAGTTCTCCTCATGACTATCTTCTGATCAGATTAGTTTTTTCTTTCCAGATACTTTCTTAACATTCAATTAGTAAAATTATTTAATCATAAAATCTATTTTCGGTGAACATACGAATGGATGCCCCAACGCATACACACACATTCATTCTCCCCTTACATGCCAATTTATAACTTGATGTCTTTACTTAAGATTTTTCATGCTCACATGTCCAAGATGCCTTCCTTGGTCTTTGGAAGGGCTGCAGAGTATTGCATTGTATAGCTGCACTGTATTAAACCTAACAGACATTTAGATTGTTTCTAGTTTTCTGCTAAACAAAAAGTGCTCAATAAAATAACCTTATATATACCATGTTTCATAAACTCTAAGACACTATCAAGTCTAAGAAGCACCATTATTTTACATGCCACCAAGAAAGAAAAAGAATGTTGTAAATTTAACTATGACATGCCACCCTAATTTCAGAAATGTTTAAATGTGTATCTTAAAATCAACAAAATGTAGCATATCTTTTTAACTTATAGGATAAATTTCTAGAAATAGGGTTGCTCTATGAACAAGCCTGCACCCTGAAACTTTTGATAGTATCAATTTTCCCTTTTAAAAGGCTATACCAATTTATATTCCAACCAACAGTATGTGAGATCTGTTTTTCTGATCTGAGAATTTTCAATCTTCAGATATTTTGCTAATCTGATAGGTGAAAAATGTATGTCGTTATTGATCTGATTTGCATTTCTTTATGAGTGAAGCTAATCATCTTTTCATGTGTTTACTAGCTAGTTTGTTAAAAAACGTGTGCCTATTTCTTGTAAGATTATTTTGTTTTTTCTTACTGGTGTTCAAGATCACTAAGATTATTCATTTTCTTAGTGCATATTATGGAAACTAGCTAGTTGGCATTTATTTGTTTTTATTTCAAGATCCATTTTTATAGATTCAAACTTGATCGGATCATATGCTATTCTGTTTCATGAAGAAATTAGATGTAGGTAATCTAAACTAAATGCATATATG